CCCCCCCCCCCCCCCCAACCCACTCAGACTTCGGTCACCTTAACTTTTGTTGTTGTCCCGCCACGTTTCCCCGTGACACCACCGTCACACAATAACAGTGAACGGCTGCATGTCATGCTGACGTGACAGCTTTTTTTTTGTCGGCGTCTGACGCTGGTCACTGACCAAGTGCTGTTTTTTGATGACTTCAGAGTGAGACTGTGTTGGACATGCAGCATTTTTAAGTAGCATTTCTTTCCAAATGTGTTTGTATGTTTTGACTTTGCATAGTTTCTGTATTTGCAGCTTGTTTGCTGTTGATGTTAACATGTTTACTTCCTGCAGCACGTTTTCATTGTTGTATTTGCTTTGGATTCTCGCGTGTTTTTGAAATTGTATCTCCTCTGCAGCTACAGGACGTTTCTCTGAATAGAAGTGTTTTGGGCCGTAGTAGCGTGTTTGCCTCTGTCGGCCACTGTACATTAAGCTAACGGTGAGTGTTTAAAGTGCTCACTAACACTGTGTCAGTGATAGAAATGCTGCCAGTGTGCAGTTAGAGGAAGTAGGAAGGTGTAATTTCACAATGTAAGCATGAACAATACCTTTTTGTGACACTTGAAACTCACATTGTGTTTTTACACCGTCATCATTCAGACTTACACTGTGTTGACTGACACTTAAACGCGTCACCTCGGGTGAATGACCTGGTGAGAACGCTGCGTTCAAGTCACTGCAGAGTGAAGCTGTACCTTTTGTATTTCTGTCATTGTGCAGTGTTAAACTTTACATTCCTGCACCTTTTAGCTGTGACTCCCCTTTTCTATGAGGAACACTCGTGTCCGTGCAGATTTAGTTTCAGAGTCATTCCGACAAACGTCAGTGTTCATTAGGAGAGGACAAAGGAGTGTGTGTGTGAGTGTATGTGTGTGTGTGTGTGTGTGTCATACATACATCATCAGTCCGTCCTTCATCCAGCTTCCTGCCAGCTCTTTAGAAAACCTCATTTTTAAGGTGGAATTTAATAACAGAAACATTCCACAGGTATATATTATATGTAATTATTTAGAACGACAGCACAAACCAAAACATATAGTGAAATCTTTATCAAATTATAAATATATTAGAATATATTATGGCAATATACAAAAAGTATTTCAGGTTAAATTCAGATAAAATATTTATTTATCATGACAGTTTATCTTTTAAGTACAAGATGAGAGTTTTGTGTGTTTAACCCTGAACTGGAACGCAACCTGTAATTCTCTGTTTGCTCCTTTACATTCCTCAGTGACCGACGTACGGAGGCCAGTTTGTGTCAATATTCTCTGTGTGAGCAGTTTGACAGTCTGTGTCTGTAAATCTGTAAATATAAAACATCTTTCATGGGATATAAGAAAAGATTTGTAAACTCACAAAAAATACTTTGCAAATATGAAACATCTGCAAAGGCACAAAAAATTGCAAGAAATTGCACAATTGAGATTCAGTTGGAACTGGATTCAAAACATCTGTTTGGAAGTTGTAAATTATTTGGAAGATATTCACAAATACTTTTCATTTGTTTGCAAATTAATTAAATACATTTACAGATCATTTTTATATATGAAGAATATTTTTGTGAGTTCTTTTTTTTGTATTTGTTGAAAGTGTTTCATATTTACAGATGACACATTAACACTCGAGTTCTCAAGAACAAAATCCAACCCAAACTGAACCGACCCGACCCATGTGAGCTGAAGCCCGAACCTGGTCCATCCAAGATCATCACATACTGAGCCTGAACCTGAGTCCCCCAAAAGCCACTAGCTGGGGCGCCTGGTGTCTTAGTGGGTAGAGCAAGTGTCCCATATGCGAAGGCAATGCCCTTGTCACAGTGGCCACGGGCTCGATTCAGCCTGTGGCCCCCTGCTGCATGTCATGAGAGAATTTCTTTAAATTTGGCACAAACGTCCACTTGGACAGAAGAATAAAGGTCAAAGGTCATGTTAAAGGATGGAAATTGGGCTGGTGGGCAGAGTCATAAAACCACAGGGTGGGAATTCTAGTTATTATCTTTTTATGTTGGGGAAGATTCTCAGTCATCCAGGTCATCGTAATCTTAAGTGCTACATCGTAGGCACGTGGACTTGCTAAAGTTTCGTGAAGACATTTCACCTCTCAGTCAGAGAACAGAGATGAAAGTCCTGTTGCCCACCATATAGCACTTAAGATTTATATGTTTATATTTTTTGTATTTATGCCCTAACAGCTCAAGCTTGCCATTCAGTGCAAATGTTCGCCCCTAATTTGGTTCAACCTCAGTTTTTCAGGACCCGTCGGGCTCAGGTTGAGTTTGAGAACTCTAATTACCTGCACGGATGGTCGATGTGTTTCCACAGAAAATCTTGACACAACTCAGCCTCCATACTGGTTCTTGTATTTGAGTGTCTTGTCTACATCAGGCTTTGCCGCAGTGTTTACATATCAGAGTCCCCTCCAGCTCCACGTCACAGTTCTGGTGCATTGCTCGCAGAGATGAGAGTCAGGTGACGGCAAAAAAAAAAAAAAAGATTAAAAAAAGACATTTGTGAGCTTTGGGTTCAACAGAATGCATCCCTTTTTTATTTTTATTTTTGTGAACAAGTGTTCAAAGATGAGTTTTAGAATAATCTGGTCTTGTTTTCTATTTAGATGTTATGATTAGATCAATGCTTGCAAACGTGGTCATGTAATAATCCAGAGAGATTATCTTGTTATCTACAGTACAAAAAGAACAAAAAAAAAAAATCTGAAGCAAGCGCTGGTTTGCTTCAAGCATGACTCATCTGGGTTTTTGATACAATGTGATGCCAACGGTCATGTATCCTGCGCTAAAAAAAGTAGCAAGTCAAACAGTAACTTCTCAATAAACCGAATGCAACGCTCAATATTCAGCAATACTGTGTATAAAACTCAGCTTCACTGGTGACACTCGTCAGTGAAGCAAAGACAGGCCAGCTGTATTTTTAAGACACCAACTTTTCAGTCCATCCTCACGGTACAAAAAACTGCTGCGTGCTGATTCAATTATGGCGCTCATCGAGGAGAAGGAACAAACGTCCGCCTGTCAACAAGGCGTCCACAGTGCTGGGTTTTATTACTCGCTTTCCCAATATCCAAATGGCAGCTCCCTCATGCAGTTCTGTTCAACTTTGTCTTACAGATGTGAGAAAGATGTCCAATTTAAGCAGATGTCTCATGCAGAGATAGCGAGGCATGAAAGGAAAGCTCGGCAGCATTTGCATAATCCTGGGATTAAGGCTTAAAACAGCACTGGCAGAGAAGATGGTGAGGTGTGAAGTAATATGTACAGTTTGCAATGCAAAGTTTAGTTTTTATCAAGTATCCATTATAATCCATGGCAAGGTATTAGTTTCTAACTTTGGAGCGAGTACAGAGGTTTAACCATTCTTCTTCTTGTGTGACAGTATCGTTGTTGTTCCTCGATGATATCTTCTCTGTACTGATGATTCTTTGGAATAGCAGCAAACTTCTCTCAGAGGACTTTACCATTGGATTCAGAGTGATAGACTCCGTTTGTGAAACCTCGAGTCCCCTCCTCCTCCTCCTCCTCCTCCTCCTCCTCCTCCTAATTGGATTTGTTTGAAATTGCGTACTGTGGTGTTTTTCTTTCTTTTCCTCTTCCTGATTTCATATAGCCTACTTTTTCTAATCATGAATGTAAGATGTGTGGATTTTTATATAGCATACAAATTTAGGTGTCAAACAGAATCTGTAATTTTGTCAAAAAGATCAGCTATATTTGTAAGCTGTAAGCTGTAAGATGTAAAAATGAGAAAAAAATGGTTATAAAACAGACTGTGTTGGTTTACTATAGTATATACGTATATATACTGTACACTGAAAAAGAGAGACTATCTCAAGCTGTTTGCCAAATAAAAAGTAGTAGTGATGTAAATATCTGTGTGTGTGTGTGTGTGTGTGTGTGTGTGTGTGTGTGTTCACTGAGACGTCTGAACTCACGTCCAGAATGTTGGTACGTTTCTTCCTTGAAGAACTGATGTCAATGGGGTCTGCGTTTAACTACAGCAAAACTTAATCAAATCATCCATTTACAAACTCTCACACAGCTCACGCAGTATAATCCAGGTTATATCACGTTAATGATCAGTACTCTGCTAACAAAAGCTCTTTCTGATGGAAACCTGAACTGAAAGTAAAACTTATCTAGGCTTTACTCTCCTCAGAACCAGACTCCATTGACTGGTGTTTTGAAGGGTTAATTCAGAGAGAAAAATAAACTTTTATTCATTAATTAAAGGAACCACAGGCTGAGTTACTGACATACTAACAGTCATATAGAGGATGAAGTGTTCCTTTAAGATGAATTTAACTTTTCATTCAATGATAAAAAATTTCTGGACAAACGTGTTTACTATTCCTCAGAGAGTGAAGACGCAGCAGAGAACACAGGACGAGCGTCATCAGAAAACAGAGGTTTAATTTGACATTTTCAGCGTCTCCCATTAAAAACACATGACTGTGATTAGTGAGGCTGAAAGTGAAGCGGCTGCAGCACGTCTCACTTCATGTTTGTCTCTGAGCTGAAACAACAACGACACCCTTTGTTGCTCACAAACAACATTAATAACTAAAATCTAATAAGCAGATCAACTGTGATGCAACTTACAGAGCACATTTACACACACACACACACACACACACACACACACACACACACACACACACACACACACCAGAGAATAAACCCTTTATTATTATTTTATCGTGCACCTCCTTCAGGCCAAAATATTGACTCTGCACACAAGAATAATAATTTAAAAACAGCTGAGAGGACTCGAGCTCCCAGGAGGATGGACCCTTCACATTTTATTGGCCCCACTTCTTCTCCTGTGGCGCCACCTTCAGGACAAACTGTAGACCTTCAGCCCCACCTGCCCTCGCTCTGTGAAACATCATCATCATCATCATCATCAGTGTGAAGATTCACTGTGGAATATTTAAATTATTAAATATTTAGTCAGTTCTACAATCAGTGTGCAAATCTGTCATCTGTAAACATGAAACACCTTCCATAAACGTTTTTAAAAAAAGTAAACTCACATAAAATATTTTGCAAACATAAAACAGATCTGCAAATGCTCAAACAAATAAAATAAATACATAAATAAAATTAAAGAAAAGACAGTGTGTTCATGAGATCCAAAAGCAGATAATTGTAATTCTGTGTTTGTTCCTTCACATTTCACAGTGACTGATGTACGGAGAAAAGAAAAATGAGCACAGAACTGAGATTCACAAATAAAAACTGGAGTCACAAATATGTTTTTGGAGGCTGTAAATGTTAGAAAGATATTCAACAATGCTTTTCATTTATTTGTAAATTAATTAAATGTATTCACAGACATTCTGTTTTTGTGGATTTGTAACTGCATTCTGTATTTGCAACATATTGTTTTGTAAATTTTGGGAAGGATTTTCATATTTACAGATCACACATAAACACACAGATTGTAGATCTGGTCACACAAATAATATTAAGACAAATGTATCTCCACAGAAATCACACGGAAACACTCTCCAACAAAATGTCATGTAACAAACAGGAGAGCCCCTCACATGGGTTTGATAACTTTAGTGACGAGTTACTTTATTCACATTATTAATACAAAGTATAAACCAACTAATAAATTATTATGTTATAGATAAAACTACACAGCAGTTTACAAAGTGATTTAAATGAGCTCCACCTTTATAAGCTGCAACATGAAAGTGATGAACACATGAATGCATCAGTAACTACAGTCCAGTAATATGATATACATATATATACACACATATATCATCTGAGAGCATAATGAGTGTTTTGGTACTTTAAATATAAACTGACGTCAACACTTTTGTACTTTTACATAAGTAATTTATTGAACGCAGGACTTTAACCTCTGACAGAGTCCTTCTACACTGTGGTACTGCAACATTTACCTCAGTAGAGTATCTGATTACTTTGTCCACCTCTGGACCAGTGTCCCTGCTGCCAGTCTCTCACGGTCCCTGAGGTGATGCTGCTGTGCTGCGCCTGCGCACTTCACCGCAGATCTCTATATGATAGAGACGAGACAGGTGATCAGCTGTAGAACAGGAATAAAACCAAAGTCTAAACTCTGCAGCTTCCTGGTGCGAAGGTCTGTCTGTCTCTTGTTTGCCTGACTGCAGGCAAGCCAGCCGTTTAGCGGTGCGTGTATAAGCTGGGCATTACGGTAAGAGCATGTAAACACTGACTTCAAAATAAAAGCTCCATCCGACTGATGACATTCAATCAACAAGACGATCAGTCTGTCAAATAAATATATGTTAAATTTTTACATGTATGTATTCATTTTTCATGTATTATTATTTTTTCTCATTTAACTAGTTATTTATTTCTGTCAGCAGAAATAAATAACTAGTTAAATTAAAAAGAGATTACAAATTTAACGAGCTATTTATTTATTTATGTAGTTAAATAAAAATAATAATATTTTGTGTGCGTGTGTGTGTGTGTGTGTGTGTGTGTGTGTTTGTGTAGAACTTATTTTTTTATGACACGCTACTGATAGAAATAAACAACTAGATAAATGAAAAAAATACATATATTTCAGAATTTAACTATTTATTTATTTGGTTAAATGAAAAATGAACATTTAAGAAATAGCACATGTATATACAAAAATTAACTGGTTATTATTTATTTAGGTAAACAAAAAAATTAATATACAAAAAATATATATATTTTATGCGTGTCTGTGTAACTTATTTTTTATGACAGAAATAAATGACTCGTAAAATGAAGAAAAAAAACATATATATATATATATTCAACTCGTCATTTATTCATGTCTGCCTAGTTGATTCAATGTGATTCAACAGAACAGAGCTTTTATTTTGAAATCATTTTACCGTAATACCTGCCGTATACACGCATATCAAAACAACGTGGGGCCGGTTACACGGTGTGTGGAGGCTGTCCTGACTGCAGCTCCTGTGTGTGTGTGTGTGTGTGTGTGTGCGCGTGCTGTGGGCCGGGTCATGCTCATCCAGAGGTGTGTCTCCGTCTCTAAACTCACAGCTGCATTAGTGTCCTCAGCATCCTGGAAGCACGTGCGCGTCTCGAGTCAGTCGGCAGCGAACATGGCAGAGGAGGCGAAGAAGCTGGCGGCGTACGCTGCTGTGGACAACCACGTCCAGGTAACACTCACCTGTCCTCACAGTGCTGTCTCTGTCCTCTAACATGTGTCCACAGCTTTTATTGGGCACGAGCTCAGCCATGTGTTGTTTTAGCCACAGATGCTGCATGCTAACACTGCTAGCCACACACACTCAGAGAGAGTACCGTTAGCTTAGCGTGCTAACTTCTCAAGTTACCTAACTTGCACGGTTTGGGAGGGAATTAGCTCGGTGTTATGTGTGCCTGTCCCGGGACAGTGGGCTAACTTTGGTCGGCATTAGGGACTAAATATACTGACGGTGTGTAACAGCCTGTGTTAGCTGTTAGCTGTTAGCAGGAGGCTCAGTGCTGTTTACACTGATGGGCACACTGAGGCACAGAAGCTAACATGTTGCACAGGAGTTAAACCTGCAGTCAGACACAGACACAGAGACTCATTAATGATCTGTGCAGGAGTTAATTAATATAAAGCATCAGTTTGTAATCACAGATCATATAATGGAGCTGTGACAGAGCAGGACTCTAACATATGGACAGGCTGGGTCATCAAAGATACCAGCAGGTGGATTAAATTATATTTAATGTAAGAAAAACAGCCCTAAGATAAAACTAACTCTCACAATGCATGTGATGAATTTTTATGTATTTTCAGGCTTTTGATTTAAGGTGCAGATCTATACAGAGAACCAGACACCATGAACACTAATACATTAAAACATAAAACAGCTCCAGTGTTCCTCTTCTTGTCTCCCTCTCTGCTGCTTCATTTCAACACCTCTTGTTAATGTCAGTGAGTTCAGGGCAGGTTTTTACTTGCAGACTCTTTCAGGTCTGCTGTGAAATCCTGCAGAGTTGCATTTCATCATCTGACTTCTTCCCTGTCGCTCTCAGAACAACCAGGTGGTCGGAGTGGGCAGCGGGTCGACCATCGTCTACGCTGTGGACAGGTTAGGTGAGTGAAACTACTGGAGGTGGGATTCACGATAAGATATCATGATACTGAAGTCACAATACAGTATTACTGTTCTGATATGTTGAGTATTGTTCTAAAATATTGTGATATATTCCTTTTTTTTTCAACTGTAAATTATGTCCTCAAAGGAAAACTTTAATTTTATTGTCACCCTCTACATACAGCAGCGTACAGTGAACTAAATGTTGGTCAGCATCTGTTTTATCTAATCAGAGAAAGTTTTCAGTCTGTTCATCTCACTTCAGCCATTTTTCTGCAGCTGCAAAATATATCTAGTAAACAAAAACTGATACTGGATGTTATTATTCTAGTAGGCTACCTAACATTTCATTTGTATCTGTCATATTAATAATTTATATGATCAAAAAAATCAATGTGATAATACAATATTGCCACACAGAAATATTGGGATACTGTGCTGTATCGATAACAGAAGAGACTTGATGAATAATAAAATTAGGCGGGGAAAAAGTGGATATATCGATATTGTTTATCAGCCAAATAAGTTGTTATATATCAGCATATCGGATATCGGCAAAGATCCATACCGTGCGTCCCTATTTATTTTAGTTATTTTCAAAAGAGAGACTTTTTACACATACTTCCTTTAAAAATGGTTTCACGTTTCAAATTCAGTGATTATCGTATATATTGTAGTAATAATGATACATTTTGTGAAGACATAGCCAAGAGGTTAGATAACAAATAAAAGGGGACCTAAGACAGAGCCCTGAGGAACACCACTAGTAACTGTTAAAGAGTTGGATGTGAAAGTTGAACAAAGTGAGTGTGTCCAGAGAGAAATGATTTAAACCAGGTAAGAGCGGCACCAGTGACACTGATGGTTACTGACACTGTTAGAGTGGAGCGATGTTCCTTTATTCAACACCTCTGCCTGATGTGATGTCGTGTTTGGATTGTGTCTTTGTTTACCTCCTGTTTACATAGTTTTGTTCACAGTGACAAACCAGTTTCCCCTCTGGAGATTTTTTAAGTGACTCCTGTCATATTCTTATTTCAGACAGCAGAATCAGCAACATTTGGATTTTTATTCCCACAGCTGAAGGTTAACGCATTAATGATCCCTCTTTTTTTTTTTTACTGTGTTTATTCCAGCTGAGCGAGTGCGTCAGGAAAAGCTCAACATCGTGTGTGTGCCGACTTCCTTCCAGGTCAGTTTGAGACATTTAGTCTCAGTTACAGTCCAACAGGAGAGGAAACAGTTTGCTGCAACACTGTGGCTTTGATGCAACTCATTACCACACGCAGTCTTCTCTTTTGGCCTAAACATCGAAATGACACGTTTATTCAGAGCAAAGCTGCAACGATAAATCGATCAGATGTTGGCTGTTGATTTAATCGCCAGCTAACTTTATAATTGATGAATCAGTTTCAGTGATATTGTAAGAGACAAAACTGAAACTTGTCTGATTTCAGTTTCTTAAGTGAGATTTTTTTTCTTTGCTCCTCTGTGACAGTAAACTGTAAACCTGTGGGTTGTGGACAGAACAAGACGTTTGAGGACTGATTTTCTGACATTATTTGACCAAACAACTAATCGATTAATCGAGATAGTAATCGACACTGAAAGTATTTATTAGTTGCAGCCCTGCTCCAGGGGACTTGCAGGAAAAGTTGCATTCACTTCTGAGTTTCCAACATTTAACAACTGTTTCCATGTGTTTGTGCTGTTTCTGCAGAGATGCACCAGAGTATGAATTGAAAATGAGTTCTCAGCTTTTCCTCTGCTTTTTGTCTCCGTCTCTTGGCGTGTCCTCCCACAGGCTCGTCAGCTGATTCTGCAGCACGGCCTCACGCTGTCGGATCTGGACAGGCACCCAGAGGTACGACGAGCTCGTTACAAATGAATCTGAAAGCCATGGAAATGAGGCAGAGCCACAATACGCTGGCACTCAAACTCCTGTCAGCTTGAGTTGCAGCGCTGCGAGAATTACGCCTGTGGAAATATGAAAAACTGTATGAATGGTGGAGCTGACTGTGGCAGTTTGTACATGTAGAGAACGTCTCCTCTGTGCCTGCTGTGTAATAAGTTCTCATTCCTCCAACACAGCTGGACGTGGCGATTGACGGAGCGGACGAGGTGGACGCAGATCTCACGCTGATTAAAGGTGGAGGGTGAGTTCTGTACGGTTAAATACAGACAGCAGAAGTTAACCAGCGTCTCCTCTGATTCCTGTCTCACACTCGTCCTGTGTTTGTCTCACAGCGGCTGCCTGACTCAGGAGAAGATCGTCGCCGGCTGTGCCAAACACTTTGTCGTCATCGCAGACTACAGGTTTGTGTTTGATCGTTTGCCTCCAGAAGAGACGTAGAACTGCAGAAGGAAGTATTTTAAAAATAGATTAAATTTATGTTTTTACTGAAGATTTGTTAAATTTATATGTAACACGTTTATACCCGATCACATAGATCTTCTCCGATGGCGTCCCTGAGGACACACTCTTATAAAATATAAGTCCTCTGTAGTTGAATCTGCGTCTCTTCATGTCACTGAGTCCAGATTCTGTTCTCATGTTGTGTCTCCTCTCCCAGGAAGGACTCCAAGGCGTTGGGCCAGCAGTGGAAGAAGGGAGTTCCTATCGAGGTGATCCCCATGGCGTACGTTCCCGTCTCCAGGACGATAGCCAAACGCTTCGGAGGAGAGGCCAACTTACGGATGGCTGTCAGTAAAGCAGTGAGTGGACGACTTGCCTGTCACTTCTCTGTCCAACACTTTGTTACAGCACTTTCACTGATATTTTTACTCACAGTTTTTCTTCGTGTCACTCCTGAGATTATTTCAGATTTTTATTTTCATACAGTCCTGTCAGATCTCTCTGAATCTCTGCCCTGGTGGTTTGTGGTTGTCCTCAGGTTGAGAACGCTGAGTCGTCACCTTTTCATGGTGACACTAACACTAGAAGAGTTTTATTGTCCTTCATCAGTTCAATGAATGAATCTTTATCTGTTCAGTCTGCTCTGAAGCAGATTATTAAATGAAGCGACCCCGAGGGTTGCACCATGTGAGGAAAATATATTGAATATCACAAGAATGATATTACTTGTGGTAAATTAAAAAATATAAGTGAGCTCATTTCCGTCTCTCTGCTGCCTTCAGTGTTCTGCTAAAGCACCACAAATTTCTTGGTAAATACAAAATGAAAGGAAATTGTTTTCAACATTCTTGAACGTTGAACTGATTGCAGAAGGCACCAATGAAAAACTGAGTGATAGCTTTATTTTAAAGTCACGTTTCCTGCTCGTACCCTCTATAACAGTCGTTTACAGTGTGTACAGTGGGTTGAAAATTGGCACCAGCTGCATGCTGGTAAATTATACAAGTAACTGCTGGATCTGCTGACCTTACTGGACAAAAACAACAATGGTAATCTATTAAGTTTGGGAGTCCAGCAGCCACAGTGGCAGACGGACAAAAAGTTCATTTCCAACCTTGATTTTTCAGCCCTGATGTTCACAGTGTCAGTACAAATGTAACAACGTGTTTCTGGACTTGTGTGTGAGTTTAAAATACCCTGTGGAGATTCATGACTTCTAGTAGCACTGTGGAGAAGTGGAGAAGAGTGGGTCCCTGTTTTGTTTGTCTTGAGCACACTGATGACGTAATCACATTCTGACATCACGCTGTTCAGCTGATCTACAGGTCGTGTCAAAGTGCAAAGATATGAGGCCGTTTGCAAGCAAAGGTCATGAAGAAGAAAGGAAGGAAATTAATTTAACACGTGTATTCAGACCTTGAGGATTCACACAGTCTTCAACGTTTGCTTTACTTCCTGGATTTTTCCCACGTGGAAATTCTGACCAATCAAGAGCAGCTTTCTCACACAAGGCATTTGATCTGGTCCTCATGTAAATGCTGCCGTGAGAACACGAACCAACTCTAGGCAATTATACAACTTTGGAACAACATGAGTCCCTGATTCAGACCAGAGGAGACCACTCTAGGGCTGACAGCAGCCTGAGTGTTAGTTCATATGAAAACTCCTGAAACTGAACATGTTTAAGGAAAACTTTAGTGAAACTGAAACCAGAGGACAGAGATGACACCTACACATGTACCTGCCTCATCAACAGTCTGTAAACACTTCATCATTTACTTCCTGCTCAGCTCTTTAAACCAACAGCACAGTCTGTTTGTTGTTCTGAGTTCTTCCTTCTGACTGTTGAGCCTGAAGCAGTTTGTGACTCGTCCACTCATTAGTGCACAGTTTGTTTACCCAGGAAGCCTCGATGATCACACACACGTTACTTAATCAGCTGTTGCCTCACAGTCACACAGTCACTTAGTAATTACACAAGTCAGAGCACATACAGGACAGGTTTCTGTTTTAACCTGAAAATCTCTGATAATCTGAGTTAAAGGAGCGCGTCTGTTTTGCTCGTCAAGGCTTCAAAATTATCTCGACTTAGACAAGTTTTTGGATTTATCGAAGCTTTTGTGTCAGAACAAAGTCCTGGAAGTGAAAACTATCTTCAGTCAAGTCAAACACTTAAGTTTCACTCAGTCGTGGTCACACTGTTTGCACTTAGATAAAACTCAGTGTTACAGTGTGTTTGTGTCTCATGCGCTTTGCTCTCAGCTCTCTGGGTGTCAGATTATGATTTTAAAACAGAGTCTGAGGTCTGAGTTGTGTTTTTGTGTCTCTCAGGGTCCCGTGGTCACTGACAACAGCAACTTCATCCTGGACTGGAAGTTTGAGAGCGCTCAGAACTGGAAGGAAGTCAACACTGCCATCAAGATGATTCCAGGTGAGGTGCTGGGTTAGGGTTTGTTAAAGGGACAGTTCACACCAAAATCAAAATCTCCTCTCACCTGCAGAGCTGTTTATCAGTGTAGATAGTTTTGGTGTGAGCTGCAGAGTGTCGGAGATATCGTCTGCCTTCTCTCCAGTATAATAGAACTAGATGTCGCTCCAAACAAGAAGCAAAGAGAACATGAACTAGATGTGTTCACGACAGCAGAACATTGTTTGCACAGACAGTTTGATTCTTGAAATACAGATACGTAAGACAGTGGTGTCGATCTCATTGGCGCTAGGATCGATCTTCAAAATGAAAACGTAGTATGGAGAGTATTGATATTCAATGATTGATCCACTCACCCCTAATGGCCTGCAGTCAACGCCCCCCGCTGGACTAAATGAGAAATTACAGATCTTTTAATATGACTTTTGTATAGTTGGCAATGGAAGTATTATATTGAAGCATTGCAAGCTAAAAATGCCAATCGATATATTGGTTGGGCTCTAGAGTGGATCACCAAATACAGTCAGGTGTAAACATAGTACATAAACCTGATAATAACACCAATATATAGACCTTAAACCAAACACACTGCTGCTGTTCATTGATAACAAGAGCAGTCAACCTCAAAGTAAGAAGACAGGAAGTGATCAAACACACCAAGTGTTGAAATAGATCCAACAGTGACAGGTAGATGATTCTAATCTGCTCAGGCTTTAAACATAAAAGCTGTTTTCTCATCACGAGGGACGACAAGCAGCTGTCAGAGTGCCTAACATGATGATATGAAGTAAAAGGTAGCAGATACTGTTGTAGGTAATGAGGATAATTAAAGTGAATACATTTCAATATATAAAACCAGTGAATGAGTTTTGTTAGATTCAGAGATGGTGATTAAAGTTAATCACACATTGTGCAGCGGTGAGTGAGAAAAAGACGTCCAAGGACAAATCTGCAGAGTTTATTAAACGCTGTGTGAACAAGGTCTGATTTAAAGACAAAGTCACAGTCGTCGAGAACAGGAAGTGTAAGCTGAGGCGCAAGTTTGTCAAGGACAGTGCAGGTGGAGCATTTTGAGATCAATGTAAAACACTGATTACAGAGTCGACTTTACGTAGGACATGATGGGTGCACGATGTGAACGAGAGTTCAGAATCAAGTTGTTGTGAGTTGTTGAGTTCAGACTGAAGAGAAGCTCGAGTTTGGCTTTAAACTAAAATTTGGACTGAAATTTGTCCTCTGTGGTCCGACTGAACCGAGCGCCCTTGTGTGTCCTCCTCAGGTGTTGTTGAGACCGGGCTCTTCGTCGGCATGGCTGAGCGAGCCTACTTCGGGATGGAGGACGGAAGTGTGCAGGTTCGAGATCCTCCAATCAACTGAGGAGTTGACCTTCCTCACTGTCGCCCCTCCTCCCAAACGACCTCACTTTACCCACAAGTGCCGTGTTCCTGATTTCCGCCCGGTCTCAGCCTGCGTTTGGACGGAGCTGCACCTCCTGCAGATCTGGACCAAACTGTAACTGGGATGTTTTCTCACTCATCTCAAACCAGATAGAAACAGGATCACTTGGTTTTCCTCATCCTGCAGGTGGTGCTTCTGACACTGTGAGATTTAAAGTGCCTGATGAGGAAGACCAAGTGCGTCTGATACGTTTAGTGTTTTTTATTTTCAGTCTCGTTGTTCGGTTTGCACGACTGGTTGGCTCGTCCTGTAATTAGCGGGTGTGACTGAAGCTGTGGTTCTCGACCAGCACGGCCGCTGAATCACTGCAGTATGAAACTAAGGTGTGCCTTGAGATGATATTCTCAGTCCTATTAAAAGAAACGATGCTATTAAAGATACAGTTAAAAGCTCGTAATTGTTGATCAAACTGTTGCCATCTGCTGCAGATGAGTCGTCTGGTCTCGTGAAGGCTGGAGACGCCGTACACAGTCAGAACGCTGATTTGCCTTCAAGTCTTTTTGTTTAATTAGACGACAGAAAAGAGGAATAATATGAAGTCTATACTGCAACATGCACAAGTTATTTCTCAGCAAATTAATTAATATGCTAATTTAAACTGAAAAAAAGCTCCAAAATTAATGAGATCTCGGACAATTTGGGGAAACCCTGTGGTGCAGGTATGAAGCTCCAATTATTCGGTTATTAGAGACACGTGACACCCGACAGTGTCGCCTGCGTTCAGTGCAGCACAGAGGTGGGCTGTAATAAATATGATAAATGTAATGTAGCTGCTCGTGGCTCTAAAACAGAGACGTGTCAGGAAATGGTTTAGTAATTACAACAGAAACAGGTCGTCACACAGCAGGAAGTAATTGTGTAGAAGGAACAGTGGGCAGAGAACCTGTTCAAGTCCTCGTCCTCATCGACTACATGCACACGCACAAAATATTCTGGATATTACACACAGAAAAAAACAAGCATGGATCAATGATCAGGGTTCATACGGTCATGAAAGTCCTGGAAAAGTTATCAGTTTTCCAGACCTGGAATTGATTTGAAATCAACAACGTGTTCCGGAAAAGTTTTGAATAAACATTGTTTGCTATTGTTTTAAACATGTTCATAAAAACTCCCAAACATGTCTGTCATTATACAGAATATAAAATCTGTGTGTGCTGTGCTTCGACCAGACCAGATCAGCATTGTGTCATCACCAAGGCTCCACCTCCTTTTAGGTCACTGATCCACTTGGACGGAGGGAAGCATCCCTAAAACAAAAGTTTTAGAAATATATGCAGACAAAGTTATAATCCACAAGGAGAATGAAACAAACTAAAATGCCACCAAAGTAAAAGATGAAATAAAGAAAACAAAAATCAAGATAATACATGAGAATTAAAATCAATAAAATGGACGGACTGCTCAGATACAGTCAGGACATGCTCTCCAACAGAAGCACATTCTTTGGAGAGACGTGAACGAAGACAGTGACTCAGATGAGAAGAAGAATGTATGTGGTCTTTTCTATCCCCCAAAAATGGGCGCGGCCTCGATGTTTTTCATTTGTGTTATCTGCTGTATCAGCATGTGCAGCTGGAATGCCCGATGAGCAAGTCAAGTTAACAAGCGTCAGCAGTCAGCCAGCTCATTTTAAATTACTTAAATTAAGTCGTGGAAATGGGGTAAAAATATTCATTTTTCATGTGGTTGTCTCTCCATCTTCTTTCCAACCTGTAAAACATGACACGCCCACTGATGTCATCACTGTTCGCACTTCAGGTCAGAAAAACCTGCAGTTTTGGTTCCAGCTGAGAACCGACTTTTTAGGATTTGATGCAATTTAGTTTTGTTTGAAATGCAAACATTCAAATTGAGGTGCAGGAAGCAGCACAGAGCCGCCTCCATGTTTGTGGTAAAAGTTTAAATGTTTGTGCGACAGCAGCTCCTGGTTCGTTTTGTGACAACAGCGATTCATTTCTCATCATCTCAAACGTTTAGCCGCACCTGGCGACATGTTTATATCCTCTTTACAAGGGGTTAGACTTGTTGTGGACATTTCTGCAGGTTAGACGGCTTATAACGTGACGTTAACCTGGAAACGGCTCCGTTCTGTCACAAGAGACTCCCGTAAGGCACAGGACCCAGATACAGATATAAATGTGTTTATTTAATTGTCCTGTCGTGTACGTCGTCGTCATGATATGAAGATATTCTCGTCGGTTATTAAATTCTAACATATGGCAGCCTCTCGTGGACCAATGATCTGATTTCCTGAGTGCAGACAGAGTTTGGGAAATCTTTGTACAGTCACACTCGTCACTGAGCAGAGTTAAAGTCCACAGCTTCACTGTTGATGTACCTTCATGCCTGCACCTCCTCTACTGTGTCGGCTCTGTTTGTGCCAGTACGTTGCTGTTTATTCCTCACACAAACCGTCTGGTCACAGTTCGTCATGTGTCATTGACTTCAGTTTAAACACAGCTGTAGAGAGACCTGCAGAACATTGTGAGGTCGTGATGATGGGCTGTTACTCTGTGATATGGTCTAATGTGATGAACTGATGCAGCTGAAATCTGAACCAACAGCAGTGCACATGTATTTAATGTACCTCGGCACGTCAAAAAGCAATAGATCCTGTGTTTGACTCTGATGTAGCAACATTGTGATGTAGCTTAGCATAAAGTCTGAACAACTGACGCTCAGAATCACTGCTACATGTTGTGATCAGGTTTAAAAGAAAATATTTCAGGATATATATGTGTCAGAAATGCAGCAGCTAAAAACAAAAGATGAATATCTGAGGATTAATTTGATTTGTGTGCAGCTAATTTAAAGAAACATTGAAGATATTTCATGTCGTGTCAGTTCTTCCCTGATTGAATCATATTTCTCATCATTTCAAGATGTTGATGTCTTCAAAAATGAATGTGTTGTAAAAGATGTTATATTCATTGTGCAGAAAGCTTATGTGAGAACATGGCCCCTTTTCCACTGCAGCAAAACATGGCTAACACCTGCTAACATCTGGCTTTTTAATCTAATAGGAAAGTTTACAGTCTGTATTCACACCTGGGTCGGGTGACGCTGTGGTAGCTGCAGGTATTTATCAGCTCTGGCTCCGATGGGCATTGATGAAAACACATTTTAGTCCCCTTAACCGTCGAGCTTTAGAGAGATACACAAAGGTGCGTACACAGCTCTGATCTACTGTCAGTGGGGAAACAGTCCCGCGCTTGTTGTTAGCGAGTTTAGCCATGTTTAAAAAACCACATACAGGCATTAATTTTGGTGTAAAAGGGGTTTTATGTGTCTCATGTCCGCAGCATGGTACTCTCTTTGAATTGTCTAAAAATACTTGGAGTTTGTTTCCCACACACTTCCACCCTCCTCCGATCAAACAGTAATCAGTCATGTTGTGTTTCAGAGGACACGTTACTGTCCGTCATCTGTCTGAAAGCTGTGATTGTTTGATATAATTACTAATATGTTTAATTTTTGAATGCAGCTACTCACTCTGTTTCAGTTCATGTTGCCTTACGCTTTATTTCTGTTTGTTTTAAATGTGCAGCTGTGAGAGACTCAGGAGAACATCAAGCTCAGACGTGTAACACAATCCTGTTTGTCTCCAAGTCACTGTTACTAGGTTCAGGTCAGAACTGGAGGACGTGTCGGCCTCAGTGGTGTGTAGACAAACTAGACTGGGAGTATGTGGCCCAGTTTGGGGCCAGTATGATCTGCACACTATGATATTTCTGCACCAGCATTTCTATTCTTCCTTCCTTCACCAGGTGACTGTGATCATGATGTTAATGTGAAGGTACTATTTCCTTTGTCAGCCAATACAGACGTGTCATGGTAACACCCAGTTTGTGTCTGTGTTTTATTTCTGTTGACTCTATGATTGTTTTTTAAACTTGTTAATTTATGATTAATGTTTGTAGTTTCATATGCAAACACACATTTGATGAGTTATAACAACTGAACTTCATTTGAGGACGTTGGCACCAGTGAGGTGTGACAGACAACAGGACGTTCCTCACTCAGAGCACGACTCAGGGAAAGTTCATGCAGAGTTCCTAAATGAACAAATCACAAGACTTTTTAATTCTGTTGCACTATTTGTAATTCAGTTTTTGCACACCAACGTTCAGCTGAACAGTTTTAACTTTACTACACATTTGTGACTATGAAGAAAAACCCATGGCCCCCGCATGACATCACTTTAATTCTCCAAACGACTTCCTGTTCAAAGACAGTGTTTAGTTTTTTGTACTTATCAGGTCTGACTGATCCCAAACAGCCAGGAGACATTAAATATGCAGAGCAAACAGCAGCTGACGTCTCAGGAGGATATTCTAACTTGTGCTATTTTACTAATTTACAGACCCAAATAATCACCAGATGAACTGATAACTAAATAGTTGCAGCTGTTGTTGACGTCAGCTGAGGTAAGAGACATTTTATTTTCATAATCTGGATGAACAAAGCTTTAATAAGTCAAACATTTGTCATGTTTTCATGTGAAAGACTTCAGTGAAAAAAACACAATGGTGCTGTTCTCCTGTAGGGTCACATGGGGGCGCTAGACATGTAAGCAGCTGTATTCAGCTGGAAGGTTTTCAGTCCTCAGACATCAGACTGTGTTCAGTGTCCTCATATACCACCCAATATCATTATTAAAATATGTTCTTTATGCACTGAGCAGATGTCTGCACAGATACTGATGCAATAAGTTATTTAAAGTGACTGTCAAATAATTAACATATATGAAATCAGAGTCTTTAATCAGACACATGTCATCAGCCTTTCACATACATATCAAATCCTTATTGACAAAATGAAAACATCAACAACAAAAAAAATTAACAGACATTCAGGAGGAATATTTATATGAAAACATTAAACAAAGAGCTCAGATGGTTTTCACAGCTTTGTTATTATTTTGAGTCAAAAACAGTCTTCATGTTCTGTTTAGTTTCATTTTCAAACACTTAAAGATTCAGAGTGGATAAATTTGGATTACGGATATGATACTAGTCTGATCATCAAATTTATGATGTGTAGTTCTTTAGATTCTGTATTGTTGTTATTGTAGGTATCACACAGGACTTTTATCAACAATAAACCAGCAGCAATGTTTCTGGACACATTTCACAGAATGAACAGTGAAAACAAATGTCCTTCTTAAATTTAAGACAATAATAACTTATGAATAATATCTATGTTTGATTTTGAAGGAAACTTCCCTGACTTTATTAATTGGTGAGGATACATCAGTATGGAAAATTCCAGATATTTATTCCAGTTAAAGTTATCAACAAATCTAGACCAACATGGTGCAGCAGCAGGAGTATTAATGAGATATTAGGGACTGTTCATTACTTATAAGGGGGGAGGGTGTGGTGCAAACAGGGGGAGGCATGTCTAATAATTTTTTAAACACTGGCAGGGAGTTATGTTTTTTATTTTGGTTTAGGGGAGAGGCATACAGCTTTAAATGACTCTGTTTTGTATACATTTCATCACAAAAATGTTTTTAAAGGAAACATGCCTTCCAAATTTTCATATGTTTTCTTTAAAAAAACAAAAAAACACACATTTTAAAAAGCAAATGTTTTTTTTTTTTTTAAATTTGAAAATCTTTAAAAAGTGATTTTAAAAGTTTTTTTTTCAATTTCGAAAAAGCTTTAAAGTGTTTTTTTAAGACAACATGGAGGGCATGTTTTCCATAAAAATCAAATTTTAAAACACAATTTTTAAAGTTTTTTCCCCTCCAATTTTTAAAAAGCTTGAAAGGTGATTTTTTAAAAGCAATTTTTTTTTTTTTTTTTTTTTTAAGATTTTTTCAATTTAAAAAAAAAATGTTAATCATCAAAATTACACCTTTTATCACAGCAAGAAACTGTGAAAATCAAAATCTAAAAAAACTCCTTTATGGCGGAGGGAGGGTCATGGATGTTCCTCCAGTCACTCAGGGAGGGTGAAGGGGAAATAGGGAGGATAAAACAAAAAAAGTCAAACCTCAAATACGCCTCTCCTCTGACAGGTAAAGAACAGTCCCTAAAAACAAAAATAAAAGTATTAAATATTTAAATTAAATCTGTATGAACTGTTTCTGTGTGAGAACAATGATCCAAAACAACTGTGAGACAGTGTGAATTAATTTAATCTCCTCTGACTGTATGAATAATAAACACCTCTCAGGGCCGCACTTTATTTATTTTGACATTATGTCATGTGTTTGTGGAGCAGAGAGAAACACAACTCGTGATCAGGAACAGGAAACGTCTCCTCTCTCTCATCTACACTGAGGCCACGTTGAAGCTTTCATGTCGGCTGTCCTGACAACTGCTCCCTGACTGACAGCTCAGCTGCCCAATGAGCTGCTGACGTTCAGGCAGCCGCGGAGAGCACCGACCAATGGCGTCACTGCTTACCTCCATCGTCCCTCTGATTGGCCGGATAACGACACATCCCACCAATCACAGCTCCGCCACAGGATTCGCCATCGGGGATTTTTTTGCGTCACCTTTTGCTCCTAACTGCGACTGCGCATGCGTGGTTTTGATGAGCCAATGAGGAGCAGTGTTTGGGGGGCTGGAACATTCTAACCCCGCCCCTTTGAGTGACAGCTCTCTGACGCAATCACATTGTGCTTAGTGTGCGACTGAGCGGGACTGACAGCGCGCGGCGCAATCACAGACCGGAACATGAATGTTTAGCGAACACGCAGGTTTTCCGGTCCAATCCCAGAGTGGAGACGAGGCGGGACTTGTCGTTACCAAGGCGAGACTGGAGTCAAGTATAAAGGGAATAACATGGTGTCCCAGCGGCTGTTTATGTTTACTTAAAGAAGACATTTGGACGGAAGCTGTGCGGGACACTGCGGACTCTTCTTCGCTCTTTGCACTTTAACTTTTTTGTATGTTCAGATTTACACGGCCCGTGGCATGTAGATCTCATATTTCACTAATGTGCCAGTCTTACAAATGGAAAGGGGGCTTCACTTTGGAAACGTGAGCATTTCCCTGGTGCTCCTCTTGTTGCTCAAAGCGCTCATCGGATTCGGGACTTCGCACTCGCAGGGCTCCGCCGTCGGGAGGGAGCCGCAGTCCGCCGCGCGGGGCTCCAGCTCGGAGGAACATGGTGCCGGAGTCATGGAGCGGGCCAGGGGCAACGTCGGCGCCCCGGTCATCGTAGCAGACGTCACCGTGGAGGACGACGACAACGGGTCGGCGGGGGAGGGCGACGAGGCGCACGGAGAAAGTGGCGGAAACGTCCAACCGACGAGGTACGGTTTATAAAAGTATAACGGCGAGCTAGCAGCTGTGCACCCATTATCGGACACTTTCAGTTTGACACGAGTTAAACACCTGCACGACATGGACACCCCTCACACTGACACACTAACAACAGCAAACAGTCAAAAACTACATTTAATTTTAATTAGACGAGCAACAACGTCACATTCAGTGTGTGTATCCAACTAACGGTCAGTCTCGTGCTAAGGGACTGTTCGTTACTAACCACAGGGGGCGGGTGGCTGCTGTGCGAGGCTGCAGCGATACACAGGTTCTAACAGTGACAGAAAAGTTGTCACACCGTGTACATCTACTCATCCACTCAAATACAATATCTCCCCTTTATTTAACTTATTTTAAAGGGAGAGACTTTTTACACAAACTTCCATTAACAAAATGTTTCAGGTTTCAGTTTTACAGGAAGTCTACAGGCCCTTAAAAAGTCTTAAAATGTCTTAAATTAAGTTTTCTGAATGTAAGGCTTCTTAATAAAAGTCTTGAATTCGGGTCTTAAATAATTTCGTCACACTACCGCGAATATTTCTGCAGCCTGACAGACCCTACGACTGTCTACAGTCAGTATTTCTCTGAATATTTCAATCATAAATAGCATTTTATTTATTTATTTTAGAGGGACAGTGCACAGGTACTTAGCTGCACCAGAGTTTGCTATAAGCTAATTTTCATCTGTCCTCGCAGGGCAGGAAACAGAGAATAATTAAAAGACAATATTATAATAAAAACACAATTACAAGGTAGAACATATTCATGACACAGTGGCTTCAGCAGTAACAATAGCAGGACAACACAACAACAACAACACTGAGATATAACAACATTTATTACAGCGGTCAGATTTTGTGTTCTTTGTACATTAAATACATTAAACTTAAGCTCACCTAAATATTGTCATTTCTCCTCACTGTTCATTTTGAACTGACATCAGTGTGTTCACCTGGAAGGAGTACTTACACATGCATCTATATATAAAATGTGTATTTTCATTGCAGGTTTGGTCTTAAATTTCATATAAGTTGGTAAAAAGAAATCTTAAACCATCTTAAATTTAACTTGGTTATATCTGTGGACACCCTGTTACAGTGATTGCACATTTGTTTAATCAAAAATAGTCCCTCTGTTTTCATTCCTTTGAGGCTCATTCTGACTGATAATAGTATAAATTCTGTACTTCTGCAGTTATCGTACCATGTAAATGTTATCATGTTTATTGTTCTTTGACCGTCCCTAGAGCTACAGATATTTTTCCTTGAGCCTTGCTGAGTGGGTCCACTCCATTTCAGTGCACCACTTTATACTTTGGGACAAGAGGGTTTAAACAGGGAGTAATCTGTCAGCCACCCGCAGATATCAACAAGCAGTGATGTTGGTCTGCAGGGCAAAAAAACCTGCATGGACAGTGATGTCCACAATATGATTTTATGTAAGGTTGAATAAAGGAATGCTTCAAACATCTACATACAGACAGGTGTGTGTGTTAGAGGGACGAGCAGAACACAACTTATAGAACAACTCCTGCACACTGTCTGACATGTAAAACTAATGATGAAGGTCTTATTACCAAAACGTTGCAGCTTTAGAATCAATATTTCTGCACGTTAGACAGTGTGCGGGAGTTTTTCAGTTATGTAATCCTGAATGACAGTTAACAGTCCTCTGTGTTATCAGTCTCCCTGATGTGCCTGTGATAGTGAGGCCCATGTGGTTGTGGTGATTGTAAACACTGCTGCTGAATTTGGTATCAGCCAGCTAACATTCCTGTGGCACGGTGCAGACTCCACCTACTTGGCACACCGCAGAGGTACGCCAGTGTACTTATGGTGCAGACCCAGTCAGTGTGTTTCCAGTCACAGTGAAGTGGAGCTGCAGTCCCAGCTGGACGAGGACAT